TTTTTTGTTGTTTGCTTTACCTACGTTTAAGCACTAGTCTTCTACGGCTATCTTTTCGAAAGGATAAAGGGGATTTCTCTCTTCATCTTGAGAAAATTGCCCAGTTGCTGGGCAAACAATACTAACATTTTGCAAAACCTTGAAGTGTAACAACTTACTCCCAATTTTGGTATGTTCTTGAAGCAGGGTATTTGACTTCAGAAAGTTAAAATGTCACTTGTTAATTTCAGACAATTTTCCAAATCAAGATTTGGTAATTGTGACGAGTTCTTGCTCATTCTAGTTCTTGATCTGGCTCACTTTACAGTTGAGGACACTGAAGCCCAGGGAAATTTACTTGTCTGTGTAGCTCTTTTCCAGTATGTAGGTTTTCTGAATAATTTCTACTAGAATGTCCTTGTTCTCATTGCTAGTGTGAGTTTAGGCTGATAAAGATATATTTGGAAGAAATTTACAGGTTTTGGAAGGACACTTGTAGTATTGACTTACTGTCTGAATTTAGCCTGGGTAACGGAAAACGACCTGTAAAACGAGAACCAAGTACACTGGAAGCCACCTTGCGGTGAGCAAGACTGAGTTTGGCTTCAGCTGTGCAACTTGGAGCATTTTAGCTTGCTAACATTGATCCCCACTTAGGTGAGTATTGGCCCTGCAAATTTGGATTCACAGGAGAAATTGTAATGTTGCTGCTAGTAAGGTAAAACCAAGTGCCCTGGACCAAAACTTGAAACAGTACCCAGAAAATGCCATAAAATCAAAGTCCAGACTTATTTTATGAGGGGTTTCAAAGGATGTTCAATGGAGAAGACTTGGAAATCAATTTTGTTAAACTGTTTGGATTTTGGGTTTTCTTGAGGTAATGTATAATCTAGGGAGTAAGGAAGTTTGGGAGAAGTTAACGGCTTAAGTTCTAGAAAGCGGCTCTGGGATTTGGTAATATTGCTCATTCTAGGCTTTGCAAAAGCTCTGTTTGTAGCGGAGCATGAATAGGCGTTTCATCTGTATCACCCAGAGGTGGTTTTTTTTTTTGTTTTTGTTTTTTTTTGTTTTTGTTTTTGTTTTTTTTTGTTTTTAGTTTTAAATTCTGTATTAACGGTTGTTTTCTTTCCAGACTGCAAAATTCAAAATGGGGCTCAAGGTATTCGTTTCATCTACACCAGAGAAGGCAGACCGAGTGGCGAGGCTTTTGTTGAACTTGAATCAGAAGATGAAGTCAAATTGGCCCTGAAAAAAGACAGAGAAACTATGGGACACAGATATGTTGAAGGTTTGATTTATGTTGCCCTAGTAACAGTAAATAAAAACATTAAACACATAGAGCTCTATCTTACCCCTTCTGAATTTTAGGTATTTGACCGCATGGAAATGGTCATCTAAGGGAGTTTATGGCAGCTCTTCCTAGATTATCTAAAGACCCAGGAAGTCTGAACTTTGTTCTCTGACTTTCCAAAATTGACTAATTCTAAGCACCTCTTTCAGTATTCAAGTCAAACAACGTTGAAATGGATTGGGTGTTGAAGCATACTGGTCCAAATAGTCCTGACACGGCCAATGATGGCTTTGTACGGCTTAGAGGACTCCCCTTTGGATGTAGCAAGGAAGAAATTGTTCAGTTCTTCTCAGGTATGTAGTTGTGTTTGTTGCTGAGCAGTGAGTTCTGGCTAGCTTCTGGCAACATGTGATTTAATAGACCTTAAAGTTGAGTAGCTTAGATATTTAAACAGGTGTGAGTATATACAGGTGAATTAAATGTTTTCTTCTTCCTGGAGACCTTCAAATAATTTAAGCCCATCTTAAAGGTGGAAATTAAGTACTTTGAAAATGCTAACTTTGCCTATATTTAGTATTGTAGTTCAGAGTAGATCTTTGAGGATTGTCCTCAACAGCTTAACTACTTCCTCACAATGCTGTTCAGCAAAGTACTTCAAGTTAAAGGTAAGATCCCTTAACATTAGATTAGTTTGAGTTAGGTGGTTGTGATTTATGGCAAGTGCCTATGTTTTAAGACAAATTGGGTCATGGGCCCAGAAACGTCTCTAATGGCCTAACTCTTAGTGGGGAAAAAAAAATACGGAAGCAACTGGTTGTTGTAGCCAGGGAATTATGAACTTAATTAAAATCTAATGTAAGAGTAGTTTGAATGTAGTCTCATTGTCTGAAATAAAGTATTTTGAAACTGTTCTGGGCCTAAAGTATTTGAATGTTTTTATGCTGAAGAGCTGGTAAAATTGCATGTGTAGAAGAATGTTAGATCATATATTTTAAGTACTATTTTAATACTCATGTGATAAGTGGAATTAAGAAATCCTTTCATGGTTCAGTATAGTATGTATGAAAATCTTGACTTAGATATGTATCAAGTCCTAATATTTTGCCAGAATTCTTGAAATCAAGTCTGCTTTGATTGTTTTTGTCTAAATTGGTGAGAATTGAATGCTATCTGTCAACGTTAAATATGAACATAATTTCATATCTTCTAGGAAAGTGCTTTAAGCCCTTTTTGTAAGCTTGGGAATGTATCCACGGAAAGGATTTTTCATAGACGGAATTTCCAGAAGTGAATCATACTACTGTTAGAGCATAAGAGTGCATGATTGTGCTGTGTAGATCAGTTGTTTGTTGAAAAGTTTAGATTGTATGTTTGTCAATTATATGACTTAAGCAATGTTTCAATTTGTATATGAAATGTTTAAATGTGTAATTTTTTTTAAAAGTTGAAGTTCCACTAACTTAGAACATTGAAATATAAATTGAGGTAAAAGGTGTTTTAAGTATAGTAACTGTTGTATTTAATGCTTGAAACTTTATTAAATTCTTGTGTAATTCTCAACATTAATTTGCATAGATTAGAGTGTTAATTGTTGAATTCTTAATGCATCCTGTGTTCCAAGTTTTTTTCTTACATACTGTGCCATGGGGTGTGTTAAGAATTGAGTTATACTTTGTAATAATGGAACTTCATATTACAATGCATATGTAAAAAAGTACTTGTTGAAAGCATACCGTTCACCTAAAGTTAAAATTCTGGTTTATTTAAAGCTATAAGAAGAATCATTTCTGGGCTTGTGATGTTAATATTGCCCCCCTACTGGGGTTATTTGTCCTTGGGTTGAAGGGTTGGAAATCGTGCCAAATGGGATAACATTGCCGGTGGACTTCCAGGGGAGGAGTACGGGGGAGGCCTTCGTGCAGTTTGCTTCACAGGAAATAGCTGAAAAGGCTCTAAAGAAACACAAGGAAAGAATAGGGCACAGGTGGGGATGGATGGTTGGTTGGATTTGTCACTTTTCTTATGGTAAACAATTAAATCCATATTCTCTCTGCTTAGAAGAAAGAAACCTATTTTCTAGTCCCAATTGATGTTTTGCCACAATTTTCAAATTCCCTATATTAAAGTCCCGTAAAGCATTCAGATTAAAGTTTAGGTTTTAAAATTGTCCCCAGTTAATTTGGTCTCCCTTACAATACTGTAAGATTCCAAGATTCCTAATTCTAATCAATAGAGTTGAGAGACTATGGCTTTAAAAAATGTTAATGCAAACCTGGCTTTAGCTGTAATAACACCCACCTAGTAAATTAATATTACCATAAGAAAATGTGATACTTTCTGATCTTGTTTTTAAAGTTGAAATGCAACAAACTTTTTCTTGCTGTATAAATATTCTGCATATGTATTAATAAGCATAGCTTTCAAGAAATTGTCACAAAAGGTTTTATTCTCTTTGCTTGTGACTATTTTTCATTGAAGCATGCGCTTACCTATGCTGATTTCTACTAAAAGCATAGGCCTGGGGTATTATTGGCGAAAGAAAATGTGTAGTGTGGGCTAGACTGTTGGTGGAGGCTGGCTTTTTAGCCCACTTGCTATACATGATGCCAATGGATTTAAGACATGAAATGTTGAAAGTTGAGTGGAATTCTTTCCCTCCTAAAACATTTATTTGTAGTACTCCTCTCTACCCCTAAGGTTGGGCTCTCTGCCTCAGAGGAGTGAGTTATAATCTATAAATACAATTTACATTAAATCTTACAATTGAGTGAATTTCTGGTCATTGCCTATGCAAATATAAGAAATCTGGCTTTAAATATTAGTCAGTTTCATGGCTATGACTACATTGTTTTCTTGTGTAACTAAATACCTGTATGAAATGAACTAATGTTTTTTCTCCCTTCCCCATCCCTTTCCTTCGTGAACAATGCTTTAGGTATATCGAAATCTTTAAGAGCAGTCGAGCTGAAGTTAGAACTCACTATGATCCACCACGAAAGCTTATGGCCATGCAGCGGCCAGGTCCCTATGACAGACCTGGAGCTGGCAGAGGGTATAACAGCATTGGCAGGGGAGCTGGCTTTGAACGGATGAGACGTGGTGCTTATGGAGGAGGTACGTCAATATGCAGATATCACAGGGTCTGTTGTTTGTGTAACTGTTTTCATTTGATTGATTGTACTTCTTGTCTTCCAGGTTATGGAGGCTATGATGATTATAATGGATATAATGATGGCTATGGATTTGGGTCAGATAGATTTGGAAGAGGTAAGGTAAGAATTGAATTTCTCAACTAAAGGATACTTACACTCTTGTCCATCTAGACCTCAATTATTGTTTTTCAGGAATGTCTGATCACAGATATGGGGATGGTGGCTCTACTTTCCAGAGCACAACAGGACATTGTGTACACATGCGGGGATTACCTTACAGAGCTACTGAGAACGACATTTATAATGTAAGTGTAAGATAAATTTACAGGTTGTCTATTTCAGGAGAGCATTAAAAACTTGGTTCTTAGTCTAAGTGAAACAGTACGGTATAAATTTGTGTTTTCTAACAATAGAGATTTGACTTACTCTCTGAAATACTTATATTTAGTTCTTTTCACCGCTGAACCCTGTGAGAGTACACATTGAAATTGGTCCTGATGGCAGAGTAACCGGTGAAGCAGATGTCGAGTTTGCAACTCACGAAGATGCTGTGGCAGCTATGTCAAAAGACAAAGCAAATATGCGTAAGTGAGATTTAAGTGTCTTGGCCGGGGGTCTCTACAGATGGTTGAGTGACCAGTGTTTGTGATAGAGAAATAGTAGGGATGTATGAGAAATTCGGTCTGATAATGAGTTAGTTCTTTGGTTTGTGTTTAAAAAATGTGGGTTTAGTGGGATTGGAAGGGGTTTGTGATGAGAACATGGACTTGAATTATAGCCTTAATTGACTTAATTTAGATGAATGTTTAAATCAAAAGGCTGGTTTTTGAAATGTGCATAGTCCAATTAATTGCCTGAGAAGCAGCTAGACTTTTTTTTTTTTTTACCAAAAGTATTTGAAGTTCACAGATCTACTTGTTTAAGAACTTAAAAGTGCTTCTCTCTCTTTCTTTCACCAACAAACACTTTCAAACTTTTTTTTTTCTCATTTCAGAACACAGATATGTAGAACTCTTCTTGAATTCTACAGCAGGAGCAAGCGGTGGTGCTTACGGTAGCCAAATGCTAGGAGGCATGGGTTTGTGTAAATATCACTTTAGTGTCTTTTTTTTAAGCTAACCTTGTATGCCTTTTCTCTCATTTCAGAACACAGATATGTAGAACTCTTCTTGAATTCTACAGCAGGAGCAAGCGGTGGTGCTTATGGTAGCCAAATGATGGGAGGCATGGGCTTGTGTAAATATCGTTAGTTTTTTTAAAAACCAAAACATATCTATATAAGTCGATTATATAAGTTAAGTTAATTTATATTTTAATGAGTTTAGCATAATTAAGTTAGGCAAAGAGTTTTCAATTTGAATTTTGTCTGGCTTATTTAAATCCTTGTGAGTTAATGTAAAAACTGTTTAGATGACTAGTTTTAAGTACTTTTGGGGGAGGGGATGGCAGAAATTAGCTCAGTTGTCTTTATGAAGTATAAGTCTAAAAATTAACTAAAAATCACAGGATCAATAAATTCTTGGGCATAGTTGGGCATAATTAGGTGTTCAGTTATACCTGTGTATTCATATAACCTTACTGTATAAATTATGGGGTAAAACCCCACTAAATCCAGTTAAGCAGTATCTTAAGGTCTTCTCAAAATGCCTCTACTTTATGGAATCATGTGCATTTAGTCCTGCTGATGTGCATACTGTTGGCCTTTTGGTTTATAAATGTTTGACTAGTTCATACGATGGATAGGTAGTTTTGGTCATAGGCAATAGGCAGAAGGAGACAGAGGATTATAGTAATATAAAATCAAAACTGGAAAATCATAGATTTAGAATTACAAGCCCGGTACCACCAGGTACCACATTACATATGGCACAAGGTTCTAATGTTCTCTTAACTTAACAGCAAACCAGTCCAGTTATGGTGGCCCAGCCAGTCAGCAGCTGAGTGGTGGTTATGGAGGCGGCTATGGCGGCCAGAGCAGCATGAGTGGATATGGTAAGTGTGTTTTTCTGTATACTTGAGATAAGTTTTAGGCAGGTTTCTTTAGTTGGGGGAATATGCAGGCTTCTTTTTGGTGAAATTGGGGTTAATAAATAATATGCTTTTGATCCAAATGTAACTTGTTCTTTTAATAGCTTAATTTTCAGAACCAATCTTTGGGAGGGGGAAGTGTTGTATAAATTATTAGTCATTGCAACTTGGAATAATGTCGAGCCAGAAAACATCTGCCTCCATTTATTAAAAAAATTGTTCATCTTTTTTTTTTTTTTTTTTTTT